GGCTGGCTTTCAGCTCATTTTGTAGCCCAGGCTGGTTTTGAACTTGTAATGATCCTCCTGCCTCAGCCTCCCAAGTGCTGGGATTATAAGAATGAGCCACCTCTCCTGGCTAAACTGGGTCTCTTTCAACTAGAATTTTGTCATGAGGAATAGCAGACAGATCTGGGAGAGGGATTGTCCCCCATGAGTCTACGAACTAGTGATAATTAATTTTTCCAATTTGCAACCTCTTGCCAGCTCCTAACTCACCAGACCAGCAGCTGAGGTAAGAGATTAAGTTTCCAATTTGCATCACGGTATAACAAATTAATAAACTAAGTGTCCATGTCATTCAATGCCTTCCTCACTCTCAAGTTTTTCTGGTGGTGTAACTTAAAAATAGGCCAGTCTCCCAGGCCTGAGGTAGGGGGAAGGGGCTGTACCCCAACTTCACAGTTTCAGGTGAAAATACTTTTAAAAACTGGACAAGGAAATAGAAAATGCAAGTGCCTCTATTTGATTTGAAAATAAATTGTCACCCAAGCCAAAACAGAAGTTTAATTACCTTGACAACTAGTCTTTGTTAAAAATAATCTTCTGGGTCGCTTCTGGCCTGGGTACATTGAATGAAGAAGTCGCAGAATACTACTACACCTCATTGAGTATTTTTTTTTTTTTAACTTTCTGCAAAGCTTTATTCCAGAGGGGCTCGGTCCTTCTTGGCAGCTGCCTTCCTCATGGCAGCCAGCATATGGCTCAGCTCCTCACGCTTCCTCTTGGTGCTTTTCTTGATGAACTTGAGGGCGCGCTTGTACTCCGAGACCTTGAGCAGCTCCATGGCGCGCCGCTCGTAGGAGGCGAAGCCGCACACCTCCCGGATCATGTCCTGCATGAACTTGGTGTGTTTGGTGAGACGTCCGCGGCGGCGGCTGTGTCTTGGTTCGCTCACACATTCTTAGTCAGCTTGTGGCCCTTGTTGAGGCCCACGGCCATGGGATAGCGGAGGGCCATGGCTGCTCTTTTTCAGTGGTTGCTGTGGCGGAAGGCTGCATTGAGTACTGATGCAGACACACAGGGACAGGTGGAAACAGATGGATGCAAACAAGGGCCATTTCTTCTATATGACTTTTTGGTAAAGAATCCAGGTGACATGGCTGAGTAGCAAGCTGGGGTTGACAGCACTTGTTCCTTTCTGGTTTTTCCCATGCGTTGTATAAATGGTAGATCCGCTGGTGTTAAGTAATGGTCTGTTTCTTTGTTCAGGCCGATGCTGGGAGGCTGCTCCTCCTTCTGAGAGTATGAGGATAATGACTACAGCTAGGAAATCATGCGCATTTCTGTTGAAGTGGCCAGATGCAGCCGTGACTTCTGCAGGGTGAGATTTCGGCTTCTAGAACACACATGGCCTCTTCTCGTTAGTGGGTAGTTTTTCAGCATTCCTGACATATTTAGGCTGTGAATAGAGGTTTCTTGCAGGAGCAAACGCTTCTACCCTGTGGTGTTGCTCTTTCTAGGTTAAAGTTTGCTTTTTCAAGGGACGTGCTCCTTTCTGCTGTTGCTAATTCTATTTCCAGATGAGTCAGTGAGTGTTTACACGTTATTCAACTTTTACTGTCTTTATTTTGTCTTAGGCCAATAGGTAGGAAAGGATTAGACTTCAGAATGAGAAAAAGGGCCACCCTACATTATTCACTTGTTCATTCATTCATTCAGCACCTGTTACTTGTCAAATACTATTTCCAGGGGGCTGGTGAGATGGCTCAGTGGTCTAAAGCACCTACTTAGAACAAGCTTAGCAAAGCACAGGGACCGCGGTTCAATCCCCCAGCACCACAGGCCAGCCAGCCCCGCCCCCTGGTGGGCTGAGCTGGCCACACACACACACACACACACACACACACACATAAATAAATAAATTTTTAAAAAAATACTATTTCCAACAAGGTAAATATTGTCCCTCAAGAAGCTTGTGATATACCTGGAGTTCAGTGCAAGTAGACTAGTAAAATGTTGTGGTAAAACCTAGAGTACGAGTTCCACATATACTGTGTTTTTTAGTTACTCTTCTCATTGCTGAGACAAAATGCCTGATACCCAAAATGAAAGGAGGGAAGGTTTACTTTGGCTCACAGTTCGTAGAGGTTTCAGCCCACAATCGGCTGGCTCCAAGGCAGAGTGGTGTGGCAGAGGCGCATCACAGAGGAGAAATAGTTCATGGCAGGCAGAAGGCAGCAAAAGCAGGAAGCAGCAAGCAACTGCTGCGGCCCCCTTTCTGTCTCCTACATTCTCTCCAGGCTACACACCCTTAGCATGGGTAGCACGTACATCCACGATGGGTCTTCCTGTTGCCTCACCTGTCATCTACATTCTGCCAAACCAATCGGTGGACTGATTTCATAATCACACACCCTTGACCCCAGTATCACACGCTGTAGATGTAGCCATCTCTGAAAAAAACCCCACCTCTGTCTGCATGAGGCTTTGGGAGGACATCTAGACACAAGCCATAATCATAGTTTAGGAATGTCAAGTGGAGGTCTCTTCTCTGCCTTGAAGATTAGAGCAGTTGCTGAAGCAGGTGGCAGCTAAGATGCATCTTGGAGGAGCTGGCCCAGCAGCAGGGTACAAGGAGGGGAGGATGCTGAGCTGAGTGTTGCCTGGGTAAGGGCCCAAAGAGGACAGCAAGGGCTCCTGCAGCTACGGGCAACTATCTCAGAGATTGCAGGCACATAAAGCGCGGGGCAGGCTCTTATGGACAGTTCTGCTTTGTCTCATGAAACGAAAGACAAATAAGGAAATAAAAACCTGAACAACTTAGAATATCCAAGGTAGAACTTTTGTTCCTAAAACCATTGCAGGCTGTACTTCTTTTCCTAGTTCCCCTCTGTCCTGTAATCTTCCTGGGCCATGTAGGAATTTGAATTTGGGATCCTTAATATCTGAACCTAAGCAACAGACCAAGTTCTAGCATCTCCTTGGCCATTTCTGGTACAAAGGGAAAGAAGAGCAGCCTTTCAGTGGTGCTGTGGCAAGCAGCCCACGGAAAGACGCTGGCAAGCCAGTAAAACGGGAGGATTACACACATCCATTCAAAGAGGGTCTTTTCCCTCCATGAATAAAATAGATCAGGAAGCTGTGAATACTTACTGAGTCCTACCCTGTGCTGAGCGGTGTGCTTGCTAATGCCTTCATACCAGAACTTCCTATAGAAGAAGATGGTTATCTAAGTGGTCATGTAATGGCCACTTTAATTTAATTTATATTATAGAGTGATTTTATGAATCTTAGAATATCACTTCAATCAATGTTGAACACATTGAAATACATATTCCATGATACTTGTCGAGGGTCAGTTACGTGTGAGGTGCTGCGGTTTCGGGAGGGACACGGTTTCTGTCTCAAATTGTCACTCTTGTGGCTTTTGTTACAGTAATGATGATTACCTCTGTCTGGCTGTCTGAGCTGCCAGCTTTGAGTCACTCCCAGATTAGAGGAAATGTTTGAAGCGGTAAGTCAGAGTCAGGGTTTGTAATCCTGGTGAACTGTAAAAAACTTCTGTACTAAAATTGACACTGGTTCCTGTGGCATGCACCTGTGGTCCCTGTTGCTCAGAAGGAAGAGAAGCCAGGGAGGTCACATGAGTTCAGGAGTTTAAGACCAGCCCGGGTGATCCCGAGAGGACCTACCGTCCATGCCTACACACACCTTCTCTCAACATCTCCAAACAAAGTAGATTGATTTGGGTGACGTCAACCTTTCTCTTTAATGGCACAGAACAGTCAGCAAAAAATCCACTTCTGCTGGAGACCCAGGCAAGCCAAGGCTTCCCAGGACTTCTGGCACTGAGGGCTTAGAGTCAGTATAAAATTGTTAATATCTTGTTAAACTGAATTTAAAAGATAAGGTACTGGTCGTCATAACAGAAACTAACCCAAAGCTGGCTTTCAATTTTATACTTGATTTTGGTATTAGTTCACGACAAATGAGGGTCCTTATCTCCCAAGGAAGGAGAATCTGGGTTAATTTTGAATCCCACTCAGGGGCCTAGCACAGTACCTTGGGCACACTGTTACTCAGGAAATTGCTGTTGACCCAAGATTCAGCAACAGGAGATCTAGATCGGCGAAGAAGGCTTGTTTCCACAAACCTACCAACAGGCGCTGTAGTTGACAGAAACTGTGCTTGTGAGACTGCCCTGAATTGTTCAGCAAAAGTAAGGGCCTAGACCGTGTTCACGAAACACCAGATTTCCAGGATGTGGGCAGCTGCCCCGAACACACAGTTCCTTCTTCTCCCAGTTTGCTCAGGTGGCCCTCCAGCTCACGAGTGACAAGCGTCTCTTTCTCAGGGCAAGAGGCCATTTGAGACGTAACCATTTTGGTCACCTGGGACCCTGAAGCAACCAGAAAAGAAACAGAAATGCAAAAGTGGTGGAGGTTTGCACACGCAATGGCGGGAGCCTGGGGTGACCTTGGTTCTTGGGACAAATCTCCCAGAGGAAAGGGAACCCCAAGTTGATGGTTCCAGTAAGAGCAGAGGATCAGAGGTCAGGAGGATCAGAGGATCCAAGGGAGAGTAGGGTGGAGTGAGACTTCGAGGACCTGAAAGTTGGGCTTGAGATGGAGGGAGGGTTTTGAATGGCAGCCTTGGAAGGAAAGGCTCCAGGTGTGACAGTTGGGCAGGGCGATCAGTGAGGAGAGAAGCCAGTGGAATATCTGGGAGCTTCTGGGTTGTTTGATTCTGATTACACCCAGGGCGGCCTTGGAATACTTGGAAGCCTATCAGAGAAGCTGCAGCTCTGCAGGGTTCCTGTCAGACTATGCATTCAGAAGAAGGGATCTGGGGAGGCAGGATTATAAACCAGGACTAGGGAGGTGGGTGGAGCACCTGGCCTCCTCCGGGGAGCTCTGAAGCGGCTCACAGGGCAGAGTCTGGGAGGTTATGCAAATGTGAGGCCGCAGAAAGCCAGCGGAGGAGACGCTGAAGTTGCTGAGTCCTCAGAGGCGGGCTTAGAGGTAGGTTTGGGAAGCTCTGGCTGGCCGGGGAAGCATTACTCACCGTGAGGTGGCCTGTCGCTTCTTTAGATCATCTGATAGCAGGCTTTGAAGTCTAGCAGCCTTAGAGAAACCAAGCCGCTGTGATTTTCTCTTTTTTAAGTAGTAAAACTAGCCCTAGCTAGTCAGACTGGGAATCTACTAACTACCTGAGCTGTTTTCCAACACGCGATTTTCTGGCAAAACCAGATCTGAGTGTTTCCTCGGCTTTCAGGCAGTCTGTTTCTACTGATTTTATTTTCAATAGCAGCTTTCCAGGGGAAGGAGGGAAACTGCTCTCCGCATAAGTCCTCAGGCTCCCGCCCCGCCGTCCCTGGTGGCGTACCGTGTGTCAGCCTGCCTGTCGGTGCGTACGTGCGTGGCCACGACTGTGTGCGTGCTTTTCCAAACGCCAACCGCCCGGCCGCGACGTGATTGGCGAGTCCTGACCCCTCGTTTGTAGTAGGTCTCATTTGTTTATTGTAAAGAAGGTAAATCAGTCTGTGAGATTGCTTGGATTGGAGGGCAAGGGATATTTACTGTCAACAGGATGAGAATGATGATAAAGGAAGATTCTGAACTCCCAGGTATAAAAAGAAGATAAAAGGGAAGGAGACATCGACTACAGGGCTTTCTGCCTTGAACAGAATTTTTAAGTATTTGGGTGGGAAATACAATTTAGAAAATTGCCTTGTGGCCACAGAGGTAAGTAGGGTGTAATAAATAGATAAATATGAAGAAAATAGGTTGGATTCAAATTCAGTTTCATCAACTCTCATTTTTAGTGTTTTTTTTTTTAATTTTGTTTTGTTTTGTTTTGTTTTTTAATTTCTCAATAGATAACAGATGGATTCTCAACTGCAATTGGGAAATGAGACCTTGAGTGAAGACGCGAAAAGGCACGTTCCGGGCCGGCTCGCGCAGTTGCAGAGAAACTTCGTCCAGACGGTAGCGTTGCTGCGGAAGATGCCCGCGCGGGTCCTCCACTGCAGGAAACCCCGGGCAGCTGCTGCCCTGCTCGGCATCGACCGAGAGGCCGCGAAGTCCCTCACGGAGGAGGATGCAGAGGACTTCCTGCTAAGCAAAGTAAGCACGGGCTGGCCTTGCCCGCACAGCGCTCCATCCCCTCAGTCCTCCTCTTCCCGGGTGACAGTGTCGCCCCAGAAAGGGTGGCACTGCTTCCAGAGAGATGTATACCGCTTGGGAGCCAAAGACCACCTCCAAAGTGTCCGTGGGGCGGCTGTAATTCGTTCCTGTCTTTGTGGTCCTGATGCTCAGAGGCATGGCGGATATGAACCGCAGAACAGAACTCTGGCTCTGCGGCTCAGACTAGGTGGCCATGAGCAAGTCCCTTGGTCCTCCCGAGCCTCAACCTTCTTCTCCATAAATGGGACCGATAGGAACAGTGCCATAGTAAGATCACAGAAAAAAAAAAACAAAACATATATATATATATATATATATATATATATATTGATTAAGAACTAACTTAATTTTTCTGGATAGAGCCATAGGGTCTTTGAATATTAGAATTTCAAAGAACATTAGTTATTACCTAATTTAACCCCTTGCATTTACAGGTGAAGCTACAAAGGTACAGTGTTAATGTTTAATCTAAGCTAAGAGGTGGGCACAATCTCCAGGGATGCTCATTATCATAGTGATAAGGAAAGTGTATTTCTTAGGCAAAACCCTAAAAAAGACAAGGAAACCTATGAGGATAAAAAATTAAAGTGATTTCTTTTATTTCTCCTTCTAGGGGCCCTAATTGGAAGGTACTGTCTGACATCTTCCCAGGGGCCCCACAGTTTCTGTAAGAAAACAAATCTAAATTCTTTTAGCCTGGCATTTGAGCTCATTTTAACTGTCCTGTCCTTCCCTGAGCTTCCTCTGCATTTTCAGTCAGTTCTGAGTAGTGATTCCCATGTGGAATCACATGCTTGATTTGACCTACAGACCATGTTTCATGCTTGATTTGACCTACAGACCATGTTTCAACTTTTCCAAATTTTGAAAAACAAACATTTCAAAACAGATTTTGCATAGTAATCCAGATTTTGCCTTTTCTGGGGGAAAAAAGTAAGGACCAGGCAACCACACATCCAAAGCTGTTGCTTAGAACCTGTGGGCTGGAGCTAAGTGTCAGACTGCCCAGGTGTTCGCTGGTTCCCAAGGGGCTGGCCCTCGGGGCTCTGGCATTGCCCCGTTCCTGCGTGTCCCCTACTCTGTCCCTGTAGGGGCTGGGTGTCCCATGAGCACACTGGCCCGAGCAGGTCCCAGGCCCGAGCTCTCCACTCCACTTTTCTAGTTCACATACGTCCTTCAAACTCAGCTCAGAGTCTACCATCTGAAGAAAAGTTCCTCTGATACTCAGCACAAGATGTCGTTGGCCTCTTAAGAACTCCCATCATGATATTGTTTTGTGGGCAATCTATTGTGTACTGATCCCTGAAACTTTTTATATTAGTGTTTTGGTGGATGAGTTAAATACTAAGTTTCTAGAGGCAAGGATAATGTTTTTTTTTTTTTATATATATAATGTTTTGCATAGCTTGCTTCCCTTTAACCATTGCAGAATATGTCATACTTGTGGTGGTTAGAATATTTCATGGACGATAGGGTAGGAGTAGTGTGAAGGTGAGGCATGTGGTGTGCATATTACCTTCATTTTTATAAAAGAGGAAACAGGCTCCCAGAGACAGAATAACTTGTCCAAAGTCCCACAGCTATATAGTGAAGGTGCCGAGCTGTCATTGTTGTCCCTTTCCTCTAAAGGCCAGTGTCCTCTGTGGGACTCCTGTGACTCTCAACAGACACCCCTGAGTCCCCATTGGACACTGAACCTGTGCTGTGGTTTGTGGAGCTCCAGGCCTGCTCACTGAGAGGCAGATCTTGTGTTTGTCTCAAGGACAGCCGTGTCTCTCCTGCAGGTTTTGCACACAGCTCCAAAAGAAAAAAGAGGAGGCTCCCAGTGCAGATAGACACCTGCTTCCTGTCCCACCCAGGCTGCAACAGAGCACCGGGAGGAATGCTGGAGAAAAGAGGGGAGGCTCTGATGGGAGTAGTGTGTGGAAGACATTTCAGGGGCAAAATGGGGTGGGTGGGGTGTTAGCAAGAGAGAAGTACAGAATCTATTGAGCCCAAAGAGCCCCATTCAGAAATCTAGGCGATTTCCTTCTCAACCACCACCTTCTCTTTGGGGAGGCAGAACGCGCAGGGGTTGCAGATACAGGCTTCAGAATGATATTGCCGGGGTGCAAATCCTTGTCCTGTAATAACTCAACAATGCTGGGACCTTGAACTTCAATTTTCTGGGCTTCAGTTTCCTCATTATAAAATGGGAACCATCCCAGTGTGTGCCGTACAAGGTTACTGACACGCTCAAGGGAGCCTACTCCAGCGAAGTGCCCAGGCAGGACTCAGTCATCTCAGCCCCACGTTACTGCTGCTGTTACATTTCTGCTGCGAATACCCCGAGTGGCCCAAGCATCCAGCTCATAAAGAACTTAGTGGGCAAAGACAGGGAGAGACACGCTTCCTCTGCAGCTCTGTGCTTAAGTATCCATCTGTTTAAACTATTAGCCCCGCGAGGACAGCGAAAGTTCCTCCTGGTGCGTTTGTCATTGTTTCTCTGATTATGGAGTTTAACAGCAATTCTGGAATTAAATGCTTGGCTTCCTGTTGTGGGGAAGGAGGTTCTCAGCAATCTTTCCCGGCACAAGTCCTGGACGGGGTTCACGCTGCCCCGGCCCAGGCCCGTGTGATGTTCCTGGCACTCCGCTTGGCGCCCCACCACCTCCCTCAAGGAAGCATGTTCCAACACGAGTGAGTCAGAGTCGTGTTGCTACAGGGAACAGTCCTGAATTCCCAATAATTTATATGTGAAACAGTAAATTATTCCAGCACTTGAGCTATTAATAGCAACAAATGACTTGTGGGACAACAGTAGGCCAGAGGCTGGGGTTGAGAAGGAAGGGAGGGGAGCCGCAGAGGGCGTGTGGACGCAAGTGCAGGCAGGCAGACCTGAGCAGACGAGCGAAGCCCACGCAGGGCGGATGGCACTGTGGCTGACTTGCTGGGTCGGTGCAGCAGCGGGCTGGACAGGGTGAGCTAAGAGGGTTCAGCCTCGCGGGCCCCGTTGGTTTCATACCACTCGTTTTGCCTTTTCCTGTCACATCTGAAAGTGCAGTCTTTTAAGAAGAAAAATATGTATACTTTATTCATTTAATCAGCAGAAAGCGGGAGGAAAACCAGGTCAAGTTTGGGTTGAATGAGCTCGAGTTCATTTCTTAAACTATCTTTCCATTTAAAGTTTCTTTTTTTTTTAATGTATTTGGTACATGGTCTCACTACGCAGCTTGGACTCATGGTGATCCTCCTGTTTTCAGCCTCCCCAGCGCTGGGATCACAGGTGTGTGCCACCATGCCTGGTCTATGTGGCCAGTGTGGCAAGCGGTACTGGGGATCAAACCCTGGTCCCTATGTTTGCCTAAGCAGGCACTTAGTCTGCTGAGCTAGCTCACCAGCTCTTAAGGTTTCTTTTAAAAATCTTTTCTCTGAATTAAAATTGGTGATGGGATCACCTTAAGGTTGCCCCTGGCATCTTGCTTCCTGAAGTGTGAGAGGCAGTGGGCTCTGGGTTGGGCTTGGAGGGGTGTCTGGGGCCGAGCACCCCCTCTTTTACCAAGATCACTCCATGAGCTGCCTCTGGGCCTATGCTCTGCTTTTCCACACCCTAGAACAGCAGCTTCTTACTCTCTCTGGCCTGTGGTCAGAATAAGTGAAGGGCCATGGAAGGTGGGGCTCTTTGCTAGTATTTATTCTGTGAGGACGATGAGAGGTGCACAGGTGGGATGGAGCTTGGGGTCCCCAGCATAAAGCATTTCTGGGGTGGCTGATTGCTCAATGAGCCCATCAAGGCCACAGCCCATGGCAGGAATTGTGGTCAGAGATGGAGAGGAATAGGCCTGGCTGCACCTAGTGGAAAGGAGCCCGCAGCCTAGCTCAGGTGGGGATGGATTTGCCCAGGGCAGGTCTCTGCCTCGCCACCCACCTGGCCTCCCTCTGGTCCAGTCCTGGCATCACTGTGTCCACTGCTAGTGCACTAGTGGGATGCCAGCATGACTGGTGACATCGAAACAAATGGAGACTTTGGGCGCATTATGTTGTAAGCCTGGACTCCAAATAAAGGTTATTTTTTGGACTTAGGAAAAAAATGAAATGTAGGTGTTGCTTCCAGCATCTACGTTCTTACAGCACAGCAGAGCGGTAGAAGGAGGTGCTCAGGAACCTGGGAGGGGCAGGAGAATTCTCACACCAAGCCCACTCGTGACCCACAGCCTCATGGGCCTTCCTGCCGCCTGGCGGTCCTTCCTCTCATGCCTACCTAGTTCTTCCTTCCTAGCTTTTGTCACCTACCTGCTCTCCCCCCGCCCCCCCCACTCACCACAAAGAACGAATGCCAGGCAGGAAATCGCTCCGATTCCCGCCATCCCCTACCCTTTCCCTGACAGCTGCACACCATTTCCTTCTTTCCTTCCCAGACAGCGGCTGAATTGGGCTCTGAGGTTCTCGGATTTGCATGATTTCTTCCACGTGGGAAATTCCTACTCTGCTTTTGCCCTCTGCTGCCTTTTCCTCCTCCCCTGGCCTTTTTCGCTCAGTGTTTAAACATGCCCCACCTGTGTGTCATTCTAAACACAAGCACAAACAGCGTCGGTGCCCTCCTGCTTCCATTCATTCTGCTGGCTTTCCCCGTGGAACCTGCTTGGAGGCGTCGCTGACCTCTGTCCCTGTGCTGTCCCCCAGCCACTCTTCCTCTTCTTCTCCAAGCCCACCCCTCTGCCAGAAGAAGCAGTCCTACTCTTAGGGGCAAAGCTCTTGAGTTGCTTGCAGAGCCCTTGTCTCAATGGTCTTCTTTTGTTTTTGAGAACTCTCACTGTTAAATCTCCCACCTTACCAAAGCAGTCTGCTCCAACAATAACCTAGGAATAATTATGATTCTCTCTGTTCTTTTCTTTATCTCTAGATATCTACCATGTTCGCTTTCTGGAAAAGCCCTCATGTCTTTTTT